TGGGGTGGGTCGACTGCCCTCCACCTGCCCGCCTGGCCCATCTGGAGACAGGCATCCCCTCTCCTCCCGACCAAGCCACCAGGGGTGCCCTCAGGGTGAGGAATAGAAGGGAAGGATCTGTCCCTGAAATACTGCAGGTGGGAGGACACTCGGCAGGGTCCCGTTTCCCTCCCCACCTCTGGAAGATGGCCAACGCTGCTCTCCTGTCACTGCAAGCCACGTGGGCAGGTGGCGGGCGGCGCAGGTGACCTGGGACACCTTGAGTTCAGGTGAGCGGCCAGGGGGCCGGGGAATGGACAAGCCCAGCCCCAAACCCTCTTCCCACCTCCCCGGGTGACTGCATTGCTTTTAACCATCACAAGGAGAAAAAATAAAGGGCAGGGGGCAGAAACGGGGAAAAAAAACAAACCCAAAAGCAAAAACCTTCTATAAAACAGCCCCTCAGCTGAGCTTAGTGCCTGGGAATCCAGCCGGAGGAGAGGCAGCCCGCTGGACACCAGCTGGAGATAGCTTAAAAAACCTTTCGATTTGATCTGGGGACAGGCGACCTATATACAGAGGGGAGACGGGAGGGTCAGGCGCGGTCTCCCACCAACACCACGGGGGCCGAGGACAGGCTGGCCCTTTGCCGCCGCTGGGCCAGCTTGGACTCGGAGGGCGGGGACAGCTGCAGGCAGCGTGAGGTAGCTCGGACCAGGACGGGCTGGCCCTGCCCCGCAGCCTCCTCCTCCGCCAGGTCCTCGTCACGCTGGGCCAGCTGTCGGTTCATGGCAATGGCCTCTGCTGCGAAGGACGTGAGGTCTTTGGCACAGCTGTTCCTGGTAAACAAGGTGGGGCAGGTGGTCACCCAGAAGGCACCCCTTAGGGGACCCCTGGAGTCTGTGCAAAGCTTTGGAGAAAGGGGCTGTCTGTCCCCTTCCCAGCCCCCTTGACGCCAGAGCCCTGCCGGAAGCACCATTGAGTCATCCGGCACTTGCCTGCCTCCCTGACCCCAAAGAGGCTTTCTGGGTCTTTCACAAGCACCTTAACTTGGAAACCCTGCCCCCTGGACCCGGGCCTCACCTCTGCAGGACCATGGGAGTGGGCAGGGTGTTCTCCGGGGCGCACTGCAACGAGAGTGGGGGAGGCAGGGCTGGAGAGCAGCCAGGGCGCTGACAGGGTATCCGGCCAAGGGATGGACGCCATGCCCACCCCGTCACCAGGACCCCACCTGAGACCAGAAGTGCAGCCGAGTGCCCCATGAGCCAAGTCCCCCGCCCCAAGGTCTCTATGGGGAGGTTCCATGTCCACCTGCCCAGGGAACAGGAGGCTGAGCCAGGCTGGCACTGCAAGACCCAGTGAGGGTGAGGGGCTGAGCCCCAAGCCCCACCTCCCCCAGCTGTTCCCAGCCCAAACCCACCTCTGCCCTGCTCAACCCACAGGTCTCTGGATGCTCCTGGGAGGGGTATGGAGGTCCCCAGCCCCTCGCCTGGAGAGAGTGACCCCAGCTGCTATTCTTAGTAAATCCTCACTCCCTGGGGTAGCAGCTCTGCACAGATGACCTCTGGCAGGAAACACCCAACTGCTCCCGGATTGGAAGCCACAGAGGATGGGTGGAGGTGGGGCATGGGCCTGAGACCTAGGCCAGGCTGGGCCGGGGTCTATGTCGGCTGGGCTAGCTGCCGGCCCGATTCCAGCTTGCTGCTGGGCGCAGGTCCCCACCACCCTCCAGATTACTTGAGTAACTGCTCCTGGGAGCTGCCGGGCCAGCGGGCACCGTGCACTGCTGGGCAGTGAGGATTTCGGCTGCACCCCTCATCCCAAGCCTCAATGCATCTTGGGGTGCCCAGGTTACACCCTCGGGGCTTGCCATGTTTGCTGAGGCCGCCCCCATGCCCTCCCTGCCCTCAGGGCTGGCACTAACCCCCTGAACCCAGGGGTGCTGCAGGACTTGGGCGGCGCTCAGCCTCTGCTTGGCGTCGCGGACGAGCAGCTTGGAGATGAGGTCTTTGGCGGCGCAGGAGATGTGGGCCCAGTCCTTGTCGGGAAACTCGTACTTGCCCTCCTGGATGCTCTCAAACAGCATGTTCTGGGGGCGCAGAACACGGGGGTCAGCTGCATGACCGAGAGCATCCACACGGTAAACCTGGACTGGGGGCAGGGTAGCTTAGACCTGCCCCAGGGCCTGGATACTGAGGGCTGACACATGGCTGCATCAGAACCACAACTACCGAGACCTTAGACCACGCATGCAAGAGGGAGAGGGGACTGGGAACTGGATCCGGAGAGTCAGCTCTACCCAAGTAGACCTGGATTTCAAAAAGGCAGCTATGGGGGACCTGGTTCCAGGGGTCACAGACCACAGATGCTGAGCCCTGACACTTGGGCAGGTGGCCTGAGCCTGATCCCCCCAAACCAGGGACCTCACTCCACCTCAGATCTCTCAACCCTGTCTTGCTTTTCCCTTGGGCAAGCAAAGCTGAAAAGCCATCGAGAACGTGGAGAACAGGGGGGCACTGCCCTACGGATGGCATCAGGGAGCAGGGCGTACAGGGCAGGTCCCTGGGGTGCGGGAGGCGCACAAGGCAGGGCTCCTGGGGTCAAGGGGTGCACAGCTCAAGTTCCTGGGGTGGTCAGGGGGCAGGTCCCCAGGGGTTAGGGGCTGCGCAGGGCAGGCCCGTGGGGAAGTCTGCGCGCCTGGCAGGCAGGGCAGGCCCGTGGGGAAGTGTGAGCGCCTGGCACACCTGGCAGGCAGGGCAGGCCTCGCCGCGGTCCCAGCCACAGTCACTGCCACAGCGGCCCACAAAGGGTGGGTAGCCGCTGAGCAGGATGTACAGGATGACACCCAGGCTCCACAGGTCGCAGCGCTTGTCGTAGATGCTGGCCTCCTCGCTGAAGGCCTCCACCACCTCCGGGGCCATGTACTCCGCCGAGCCGCACTGCGGGCGGGGGAAGGGCGCGTCAGCCGGGGTTTTCCCGGCATCACGTGGGGCTCCAGCATGGGTAACTGCGGGTCACCTGCGCTGGCAGCTCGGACCCGCCCGACCAATCAGCGGCTGCCGGGAACGTGCCCCGCCCAATCAGCAGGTGCGGAGTTCGCCCCGCTCTGGCCGCAGCCCCGCCCCACCCGGGCAAACAGCGGCCGGGGTTGGCGCCTGCCCGAGGCCCCGCCCCGTCTCCCCTGCCAGCCAATCAACGGCTGTTGCTAGGCGGAAGCCCGAGCTCCGCGGCCTCGGCTCCGCAAGGTTACACAACCGCAGAGCGGGCGGCCGTGCCCCCAGCCCTCCCCGACCCTGACCGCGGGCCTCACCGGGGTGAGCAGCTCCGGGGTGGAGATGGGGGAGCAGTCCCCGTTGAGTTTGATGCCGCTGCCCAGGTCGAAGTCACAGATCTTCACGGGGGAGACCTACGAGGGGCCAAAGAGGACGTGAGCGGCCCCACGCGGCCCGCCCTCCAGCGGGGCCACCCTGCCGGAGCTGGCCTACCTGGTTGGGGTGCTCACAGAGGATGTTTTCCGGCTTTAGGTCCCTGTGGGCGATGCCTGGGGGAGAAACCACAGAACCACAGGGGGTGAGGGGCTGGGGATCTCCCAGGAGTCCTTAGCAAGTGACCCTAGGGGACCTCGGGTGGGCTCACCACCCACCTTTGTTGTGCAAAAAGTCCAAGGCACTGGCCACGTCCTGCACCACCACGCTGGCCTCCAGCTCGTTGAAATGCCGGCGCTTATGGATGTGGCTCAGGATGGAGCCTGGGCAGGCAGGGGGAACACACAGGTCACCTCTGAGTCCCCTCAATGCCTGCCCCCACCTCCACTTTGGCGGGGACGCCCCCACACCGGCTTCCTCCAGCCCAAAGGCCTCGCCCCTGAGCCACCATTTATTTGGGCAGGACACTCAGACCCCACAAGCCCCCTCTCTCCAGGTGACACTAAGCCCCCACCTCGTAAGGACCCAGCTGGAAATACGTCCCCCAGCCAGCTCTCTCCCTCCCCCCAGCCTGGAGGCCCCCGCGTACCTCCCCGCATCTTCTCAAATACCAGGTAGAAGCGGTCTTCCTCCTCGAAGAACTCAATCAGCTCTAGAACGTTCCTGGGTGGGGGTGGGGGAGCAAGAGAGGAGCTCAGGCTTCCTGAGGTCCCTGGGTACCTGCTGCCCAGCCTAGGAGGGGTCTGTCCGCCAGAGACTGGGACTGGGGTAATGGGCCCACTTCACGCTGCCCACCTGGAGCTGCCAACCAGCCTGCTTCAGGGAGGGGAACATAGGGCCTGGGAATCTGGGCGCCCTACAAATGCTTGCTGGGATGATGTGGTGTTCAGGCTGAGGCGAGTGCCATGGCAAGGGTGGGTCACCTACCTGTGTCCCTGGCACTGGTACAGCATCTCCACCTCCCGGAAAACCCTGCTCCGAATGTGGCCTGGCTGCTTCTCAATGATCTGAAATGGGCGAGGGGACACAACACCTGGGTCAGCGGGAGGCTCAGGGCAGAGAGGGGCAGGCCAGAAACTCCACTGCCACGCCTGGAACTCACCACACTCACACCCTGCAGCTCTAGAGAGCAGGGCTCACGCCTGTCATCCCAGCACTTTGGGAGGCTGAGGCAGGAGGATCTCTTGAGCCCAGGAGTTCTGAGACCAGCCTGGACAACAGAGCCAGACTCCATCTCTTCAAAATGTTTTTTTAAGTTAGTAGTGAGCTATGGTGGCACCACAGCCTGGGTGACAGCCAGACCCTGTCTAATTAAAAAAAAAAAAGAGAGAGAGCAAGTCAGGGACAGGAAGGAAAGAAAGACCACCGGGCACGGTGGCTCAAGCCTGTCATCCCAGCACTTTGGGAGGCAGAGACGGGCAGATCCTGAGGTCAGGAGATCGAGACCATCCTGGCCAACATGGTAAAACCATGTCTCTACTAAAAATACAAACATGAGCTGTAATGTTTGCTTGTAATCCCAGCTACTCAGGAGGCTGACGCAGGAAAGCAGAGATGGCGCCACTGCACTCCAGCCTGGCGACAGTGAAACTCCATTGAAAGGAGGAAGAGATGAAGGAGAGGAAGCAGAGGAAGGGAGAAGGAAGGAAGGGAGAGAGGGAAGGAGGGAGGAGGAGAGAGAGAGAAAGGACAGAAAGAAAACAGAAAAGCCAGTGGGCCAGCTCTCCACCTGCAACCCTGACAGCTCTCCGAGACATACTTGGACCTGTGACTTTTGCAAAATACCCCCACAGGACGTCAGGGTCCCCTGCCTTACGTGGCCACCCTCCATGACCAAGAGACGGTCAGCTGTAGTTCTCTGTCCCCGGGAGCCGGCTCCCATGTGACCCACAGAACTAGGGAACGAGGCCCCACTTCACATGTGGCCGCAGCACCAAGTCCTGCTCTCTGGCTCTGTGCCAGCCTGGGCAGACGCCTGCCTGCCACCTCTGCTGGCGTCTGTTTCAGGCCTGCCCTGGTTGGCCGCCCCAGCCACTAGTGGGAACAGCCTCCCTGAGCTCCAGAGCCTCAAGAAGCCACCCCGCTGCCCCCAGCAGCTCTAAGGACCAGAGGTTCTTGCCTGATCCAGCTGCTCCCGGCCACCTTCACACACACAGGTGGGGTCAGGAGGCGCCCACAGCTCCCCTGGCACCTGCTGGGACCCTCTTCCCAGGCTGGACACGCTGGCCCCTCTCACTGGGCAGATGGCTGCCTGTGACCGCTCCGCCCCGGGTTCCCTGCCTGCTGTGGTGGCCTGGCGGTGGTGGTGGGGGATGTGGTGTCCACTCGAGCCACCTCTGCCCTGTCCCGTGTCTACACTGACCAACAAAACTGCCCTAGGAAGGGTCAGGAGAACAACTGGACACCAGGGTGTCCTGAGATGCCACCACCCAAGCCGCCGCCAACGGCTGAGCCCGACACGCAGTGCAGATGGTTCTGGAGAAAACTCAACTCTGGCCAGGTGCGGGGCTCACGCCTGTAATCCCAGCACTCTTGGAGGCCGAGGCAGGCGGATCACGAGGTCAAGAGTTCAAGACCAGACTGGCCAACATGGAGAAATCCCGTCTCTACTAAAAAAATACAAAAATTGGCCAGGCGCGGTGGCTCAAGCCTGTAATCCCAGCACTTTGGGAGGCCGAGGCGGGCGGATCACGAGGGCAAGAGATTGAGACCATTCTGGCCAACATGGTGAAACCGCGTCTCTACTAACAATACAAAAATTAGCTGGGCATGGTGGCATGCGCCTGTAGTCCCAGCTACTCGGGAGGCTAAGGCAGAAGAATTGCTTCAACCTGGGAGGCGGAGGTTGCAGTGAGCCGAGNGCTCACCCCGCCTGTGTGAGGTTCACACCCTCCTGGGGCCGTGCAGGGAGGCTCACCCCGCCTGTGTGACCCTCACACCCTCCTGGGGCCGTGCAAGCACTCACACTCGTGCAGGGGACCCTCATGGATTCTCTCACGGTCCCGGCGGTCAGAAACCCGACGTGGGGGCCTCACTGGACTAACATGAAGGTGTGCGCAGGGCTGGTCCCTCCTGTTTCTCCAGGGGAGAATCCACTCCTGCCTTTCCCACGTTTAGAGGCACCCACGTCCTTCAGCTCCGGCCCCTTCCTTCCCACTCACAGCCAAGCGCAGCCTCTTCCAGTCTCCCTCTGACCCTCACCTTGCTGCCTCCCCTCAGGAGGACCCTGTGAGGACACTGGACACCCCGATCATCCAGGATGATCTCCGGTCTCAAAATCCTAACTCAGCCCCACCTACAGAGTCCCTTTCGCCTTGGAAGTTCCCCTGGCCATGCCTTTCCCAGGATCTGTGACCTGAAAGACTATTCCAACCCACCCAAAAAAAAACCCTAAGGCTGGGCCGGGGGTGGTGGCTCACACCTGTAATCCCAGCACTTTGGGAGGCTGAGGCAGACAGATCACGAGGTCAGGAGTTCAAGACCAGCCTGACCAACATGGTGAAAACCTGTCTTTACTAAGAATACAAAAAAATTAGCTCAACGTGGTGGTGCACATCTGAAATCCCAGCTCCTAAAGAGGCTGAGGCAGAAGAATCGCTTGAATCCGGGAGGCGGAAGCTGCAGTGAGCTGAGGTTGCATCACTGCACTCCAGCCTGGGTGACAGAGTGAGTCTGTGTCTCAAAAACAAACAGCAACAACAAACCTAAGGCCTTGTGGCCAGGCCCGGGGGCTCACGCCTGTAATCCAAGCACTTTGGGAGGCTGAGGTAGGCAGATCACCTGAGGTCGGGAGTTCAAGACCAGCCTGGCCAACATGGTGAAATCCCATCTCTACTAAAAATACAAAAATGGGCCGGGCGTGGTGGCTCACGCCTGTAATCCAAGCACTTTGGTGGCCAAGGCAGGCAGATCACCTGAGGTCGGGAGTTCTAGACCAGCCTGACCAACATGGTGAAACCCCGTCTTTAAAAAAAAAAATGAACCCCGCATGGTGATGCGCAACTGTAATCCCAAGTACTCGGGAGGCTGCGGCGGGAAAATTGTTTGAACCCAGGACCGGGGAGGTTGCAGTGAGCCGAGATTGTGCCATTGCACTCCAGCCTGGGCGACAGAGTGAGACTCCATCTAAAAGGAAAAAAAGAGTAAGGCCTTTTTGGGAAACAGATGAGTTGGGACCAGGGCACCAGGCTCCGCGTGTACCTCTGAGAGCCAGCTGGGTGTCTTCTGAGCTCCACCCCCTCGTAATAGGAGAAGGAGGAGGAGAGGAAGCCAGCTGACCAGCTGAGTGCTTTGTCCACGGTCACTGGGGCAGGGCAGTGGCCTTCAGCCATCTCCTGGGGCAGCCCTGCCCCCACACCTCCCTGGGGACTGTGCAGGGGCCAAACCTCACGGAGGCCAGGCATGCCTGCTGCTCCCTGTACTGCCCCGTCAGAGCAGGGTGGGCAGCCCCGGGCTCCTGGCCACACCTGCTGAGCCCGCTCCCTGCCCCAACTGGAGGACCGTGGGCCCTGGCTCTGTCCCCAGGCGGGCCTGTGGAGCCACCGGAGTAGCGTGTGAGTCAGCCAGCAGGAAGGGACGCTTGCAGCCACTTGCATCAGATGTTCCTACCTCGTGGCCCCGTGGCCAGAGGTCTCAGCCCAGCAGGGGTCCCCAGATGACCCTGCCCATGGCCCTCCATAGCAAGGGACACCCCTGGGGCTGTGGTTTTGGTCCCTGGAGGGCCAGGCAGGTGGGAACGGTGACATGGGCTCCGGGGCACCCCCTGCACTGGCAGGTGTGCAAAGCCCACCCCACGTCTTCACTCCCATATGGGATGATGGCTGACCCTGCAAGGACCCAGGCGTGAGGCCCCTCCCGGGGACGCCGGCCTCCACAGGCACACAGACACACGCCCGATCTGCTCACACTCAGACGCACGCCAAGTTTATTTAATTTTGTTTTATGTTGTAGGGCAAAGCTCTGTATTGTTACCCTCCGGTACGGCTGTCTGATATAATACAGACACCAGGCTAACTTTGAATTGCAGATAAACGGCGAATAACCAGGCCAGGCGTGGTGATCACAGCACTTTGGGAGGCTGAGGCAGGAGAATCTCTGAGACCAGGAGTTCCAGGCCAGCCTAGGCAACATGGTGAAACCCCCATCTCTGCCAAAACTAAAATAGTTGTGCATTGCCAGGCGTGGCGACTCACGCCTGTAATGCCGGCACTTTGGGAAGTGGAGGCAGGTGGATCGTCTGAGCTCAGGAGTTCGAGACCAGCCTGGCCAACGTGGCAAAACCCAGTCTCTACTTAAAAATACAAAACTTAGCTGGACGTGGCAGCAGGTGCCTATAATCCCAGCTACTCAGGAGGCTGAGGCACAGGATTGCCTGAACCTGGGAGACGGAGGTTGCTGTCAGCTGAGATTTCACCACTGCACTCCAGCCTGAGCCACAGAGGGAAAACTCCGTCTCAAAAAAAAAAAAAAAAAAAAAAAAAAAAAAAAAAAAGCATTGGCCAGGCATGGTGATGCACGCCTAGGCAGGAGAACTGCTTGAACCCAGGAGGTGGAGGTTGTGGTGAGCCGAGATCCTGCCACTGTGCTCCAGCCTGGTGCCAAGAGAGAAACTCCATCTCAAAAAAAAAAAAAGACAATGAACTTCATCCTGCGCGTTGGGTGGCCGGCTAGAACGTGACTTCAGGAAGGGGAGCGCAGCCCATCCTGGCAGAGAAGGGGCCTCTTCAGAGGTCCCAGCTTGGGGATCTGCATCCACCAGCAGCCTCGTGGCACCAGGCAGCCCCAAGGAAGCCTCTGTGAGCGACAGGCACTGGCCCACTGAGGGCAGAGGGCCCACACCCCAGTCCCCACAGAATGAAACAACACTCCTCAAATGCACAGCACCAGCGGTTAGCCTCTCTGACTCGCCCAGGACACCTTCTCCTCCCACTGCCACCTGGCTGGAACAACTCCCAGACGTCAGTGACCAACACCACCTCCACCAGGAAGTCCCCCAGGCTCTCCAGATCCCAGCGCTGACCACATGGGGTCAAGGCAGCAAGATGAGCAGGGAGGTGTCTCTGAGACACCAGTTAGGAGCCCCCAGAGACTACACAGCATGACTCAGGCTACCTAAGCCTCTGAGCCTCAGTGTCCCTATCTGTCAAACAAGGACAGGAAGCAAGGCTGCCTGTGGGGCCACCTGGAAGGGGCCGTGCTCAGAGGGACACCTGCCGTGCAGAAGTGTTCCGCAGGGGCCTAGTGCTCCCGCACCATCGCCCTGGCCTGCTGGGGGCTCCCGGGAAGCAGGGACTGCACTGCGTCTGTCCCCACCTGTTGCCCACGTGGCCCCAGCACCCGGCCAGCCCAGCCAGTGGCCTCCCCACCTTGGCGACCTGTCCTCTTCCTCCTCAGAGGAAGGCTCTGGCCTGGCCGTCCACCAGGACCCACAGGCCCCTGGCCAGCCATGCTTGCCAGGGCACACCTGGCCCTCTTTCCCAGGCAGTCAGCCCTCCCGGGACCCCACCCAGCCCAGAAGCCCGGTGCCAAGTCACGAGGGAAGCCTGGAAGATTTCTTGGAACACAGGATCCAACCGCCTGGCCCGCAAGGTCACAGGGTCAGTACCAGGGCCTCAGCAGGCTCCTAATCCCACCCCTTCGGCCACGCCCTGGGTTCAGCAGCCAGCCTAGCCCCGGCGCTCTCACCGGCCTGCACTGAGGCTCCCCAGACGCAAAGCTCCTCTGGGCCCTGGGATATGACATTGGGTTTTGATCCTTGTCATACAACTGCCATGAACCCGCAGGGACGACTCAGGAAGGGACTGTCCAGGGCACCCAGTGGTGACTGAAGCCCCCACTCTGGTAGCAGGTCTTTGGCCACCTGGACGTGGTGGGGGAGGTACAGGGGGTCACCTTTGCTGTCATTCCCAACTGGGCTCAGGACTCGGTGGCCGATTTTAAACACTGGTTTTTTCGGCGGTAGGATGCAGAGCCGGAATGCCACAGCATGCTTCCACCCCCTGCAGCACCGACCCCAGGGCACCGGGCCCTGAGGGTGTGACAGCAGGCCCACCTTGACAGCGTACTCCTGGCTGGTGATCAGGTTGACGCAGGTCTGCACGCGGGCATGGGCGCCCTCCCCCAGCACATCCTCCTGCAGCTGGTAGACGTCTGCGGGGCAGTGGGGCGGGCGTGAGAGGGACCCTGGCTGCTCCCCGCCCCCGCTCCCCGCCCCCACTCCCCGAGTGCCCACCGCCCCTGCTCCCCAACCCCGCTCCCCCAGTGCCCACCGCCCCCGCTCACCTTCAAACCTGCCTGAGAAGCTGTCGGTGGCCCGGCCGCGCTTCTTCTTCTTGCTCCTCTTCTTGGCGTCCGGGATGTCGATGGGCTGGCTGGCTGGCATGTCTGTCCCAGGAGGCACGCCCAGGGGGCTCAGGACGGGGCCCTGGCCAGCCAGCCCCCACCCTCCTGCAGGAGTGGGCCACTGCCATGGTGGCGACGGCGGCTGCCCCGTGCCCTCCTCCCCCTCGGGCCCCTCACCAGGGCGGGCTGAGCACTGCAGGGCAAAGTCAGAGTCTCCGTGGTGGGCCTGGTCTAGGGAGAAGGCCAGCTCGAAGGGGTTCTGGCCCTGTGGGGGAGAGGAGAGGAGAGGCCCTCAGGCCCATCCATCCCTGCCCACCGGAGGGAGACCCATTCCACCAATGCCACAGCGTCCAGCTCACAAAGCCTGGGCTGAGCATTTCGAAAAAATCACCTCAGTCCCCTGCTCACACGATACCAGGATCAACTCCTGATAGGGCAGGCGGCATAAACCAGGGGGGCCCCAGATCCTGGGATTCACTTCCTCGATGCCCCCCAAGCACTGTGTGTGTAGACTTCTCTCTCTTTTTAAATTTGTGTTTTGACAACATAGCAAGAGATTAAGTCTTGCTACGTAGCCCAGGCTGGTCTTGAACCCCTGGCCTCAGCCTCCTAAAGTACTGGGATCACAGGTGTGACCCACATGTGGAAGCAGTGCTGCCTCCTAGCATCTCATCAAGGCCTGATCAGGGGAGGCAGTCTCTTGGCGGCCCATGGAATCTGCTAACCTGGAGGGGTCTCCCGGGGGTGATTCTGTCCCCCAGGGGACACTGGGTCATGCCTGGGGACATCTGTGTTTATGACCAGCTGGGGGAGCTCCTGACATGAAGTGGGATGGGGCAGGAACGCTGCTCAGCACCCTGCAGTGCCCAGGACAGCCCCACCCCAGAGTAAGATGGGCCCCAATCTCCACAGGGCCGTGGGGAAGCCCGCCTCCCGCCCACAACCCAGGGCCTTGGAGCCTCTGGGAAAGGGATGTATTTTGAGGAGGGGACAGACACAAACAGATGGCTCTCGGGAACCCTGCCTCCATGCCAGGGTTGAGTCGCTGCGGGGCCCAGGCCATGTCTTGCACGTCTGTCTACTTGTCCACAGAAAGGGGATGCCTGACCTCTGGGTGGGTCATGGGGATCAAAGGCGGCGGAGCAGTGGGAGGGAGGTGAGTCACTGGGAGGGCTGCCAGCCTGGTGATGGTGCCTGCTTTCCCACAGCCTCCTGGGCCATCTCGGGGCAGCCGTCCTCCCTGGGCCTCAGTTTCCCCCATGTGAAATGGCACACCACCACCGCCTTTCCTTCCTCTAAGCTGCTGCTCCCCTCCCTTTTGCTCAGTGCCCGCGGCGGGCTACAGGTAGGGGCTCTGCCCCATCAACTCTGCTTTCTGCCCCTCCCCAAGCCCAGGTCCCTGCACTTCTCCGCTTGTGTCCGGTGGCTGCCTGGCACACCTTCCCCCACCCAGCTCTGTGCATCTAACCCCCTAGCCGAGGCTCATCTGCCTCCAGCCACCCCACCTAACAGTCACCAGTTACGGAGTCAGTCCATGCCATGCTGGGGGCTCACAGGAGAGGCACCCACAGGCGCGAGTGTGCCAGGCCCTGCCCAGGCCACATCCTGCCCTCTCCCGTCTCAGCGCCAGCCACCCACAGAGGGAGCCCCTGGCGGGCCCTGGCACCCAACTAAGGAGCCCACTTCGGACCCTAGGGGCCAGGATTCAAACCCAGGCCTGTTGCACTGGGTGGGCTGGGGCAAGAAACGACACGGCCGAGGACCCGTGGGGGCGACCCTGTCCAGGGCAAGGAACCGTGCAGTCAGGGGAGCCTTTTCTACCCCCCCCCTCGAGGAAGATGGCTGGAACACATGTGGACACGTCCGCCAGGCGAACCCCAGCATGGGAACTGCCAGTCCCTTTACGAGGGCCCAGGCCTTTGAAGCTGGGGAACAGAGAGGCCAGGTCAGGTTCCTTGTATGACTGAGCTCTCACTCAGCCTCAGCTGGCCAGGTGGACCAGGCAGGAGGGGCCTGCAGAGGTGGCGAGGGTCGCACTCCCAGTGAGGAAGCTGGGGGCTCTGGGCCCCGGCCAACCTGAGGGGGGCTCTGACAGGAGGATCATTCAGTAGAAGTGAGACTCTGGGGAGCCCTTGGGAGACCCAAGGCCAGGACACGGGTGGAGGCCAGAGGGTAGAGTCTGGGAGTAGCCGAGAGCCAAGCAGCCCTCCTGACTCCCCACCCACCCTGGCTAGGGCACATAGCTGCCACGGGGCCAGTGCGGGAGGAGGGGAGGAAGGGGGGCTCCAACCAGCCCCACGGGGAGTGAGGATTCCCTTACGGCTCTTGTCCAGAGGCCTCACCCGGGGCAGTCACCAGCACAAGGTAAGTGACCAGGGTCAGAGGCCAGACTGGCGCTCACCTGCTGTCTGACCTTGGCCTAGTGACCTCCCCCTGGGGTTTGGCACAGGTGAGACGGGAGGCAGTTGCCCCCAACTCGAGTTATGAAAGCTAAAGAGGATGAAAGAAGCCAAGGGGGCCGCAGAGCCCACCATTCCCCCTTGTCAGCCACAGCCTGCAACTCAGCAGCGCTACAAATGGACGGCCAGAGCCACCATGGCGGAGGGGCCAGGCCGCGTGAGACTCCGAGGCCTCCTCGCCCGTGTGCAGGGGAACCCCAGGCCCGCCACCTCGGAGCCTCACTTTCCCACCAGAGAAAGGAAAGAAACCCAAGACACCCGCAGCCGTGCCTCCCTGCTGGGTTGCTGCCTGGTAGAGGCAGGGAGAGTATTTCAGGAGAGGTGGCCCCAATCCAGGGAGCAGCCGTGCGT